GGGAAGAGGGGGGACACCTGGGAGTCTCTGCCCAATTGTTCCGTAAGTTAAAACTACTCTAAAAATTAAAGGCTACTAATAAAAAGCAAAACACACACCAAAAACTAAAATCAGTTCCCACTGATTTGTTGCAATTATTTCTGAGAGACCACCATGCGTCTCCCTTTTAATCTGCATATGTTTTTCAAGTCTGGTTGCTCAATCATGCTTTGTGAGCTGGATGCACTTTCATATCAAGTTTTTGGGATTAAGGCAATTTAAGAGAGATGTAAAATTCTGTATCGGGCTAAGTGAGCTATGCTGGTCACGAAAGGACAAAGGCTGCAGGAGTTCCTTATATACATGCCTCACGTGGGAGTCAGCACAGTAGCCAGAGAAGTCAAATTCACAGAGGCAGAATGGTGGCTGCCAGGGGCTGGGGGAATGAATAATGGGGAGTTGGTATTTAATGTATTCACTGGGTACAGAGTTCTATGAGATGAAAGTTCAGGAGCCGGATGGTGGTGATGGTTGCTCAACAATTTGAATGTGCTTTGAGCCACTTTCAACTCTACTTTACAAATGATTAAAGAGGGGACCAGCAGGTGGCATGGTGGTTAAGGCGCTGTGTCTGTCTCTGGTGAGTACACGGGCCCTGTGGCAAATGAAGGGGAAACAAATAATAAATGAAATAAAATAAATAATTAAAAATGATGGAGGTAAATTTTATGTTATGTATATTTTATCACAGTTTTTAAAAATGAACAAAACATAAAGCCAGGTTTGCCTTAGGGAATTTGCTTTTTTTTTAAATTTATCTTTTTAAAGTTTATTTATTTTTCTCATGGGCGCAAGAGACATAAAGAGTAAGACTGACAGATCAGCACCTTCAATACGGTTTCATGCCTCAGTCACTGCCCCAAGCCCTCCCAGCCAGCCAGGATCATGACAACTTCCTATGTCCAGGAACCAAACCTGCAATCTGTCACAAGAACCCAGCACCAACTGAGCAATTCATTTCTTTTTTTTTTAACTATTAATTTTAATTTTATTTATTCCTTCATTTATTTTACTTTGACCAGAGAGAGACATGGAGAGAGAGAGGTAGAAGGAAAGGGAGAAAGGAAGCCACCAGGTCTGGGACTTAAACTATGGTCAGTCACGTGGGAGTGTCCACCACTTTTAATCTGCATATGTTTTTCAAGTCTGGTTGCTCAATCATGCTTTGTGAGCTGGATGCACTTTCATATCAAGTTTTTGGGATTAAGGCAATTTAAGAGAGATGTAAAATTCTGTATCGGGCTAAGTGAGCTATGCTGGTCACGAAAGGACAAAGGCTGCAGGAGTTCCTTATATACATGCCTCACGTGGGAGTCAGCACAGTAGCCAGAGAAGTCAAATTCACAGAGGCAGAATGGTGGCTGCCAGGGGCTGGGGGAATGAATAATGGGGAGTTGGTATTTAATGTATTCACTGGGTACAGAGTTCTATGAGATGAAAGTTCAGGAGCCGGATGGTGGTGATGGTTGCTCAACAATTTGAATGTGCTTTGAGCCACTTTCAACTCTACTTTACAAATGATTAAAGAGGGGACCAGCAGGTGGCATGGTGGTTAAGGCGCTGTGTCTGTCTCTGGTGAGTACACGGGCCCTGTGGCAAATGAAGGGGAAACAAATAATAAATGAAATAAAATAAATAATTAAAAATGATGGAGGTAAATTTTATGTTATGTATATTTTATCACAGTTTTTAAAAATGAACAAAACATAAAGCCAGGTTTGCCTTAGGGAATTTGCTTTTTTTTTAAATTTATCTTTTTAAAGTTTATTTATTTTTCTCATGGGCGCAAGAGACATAAAGAGTAAGACTGACAGATCAGCACCTTCAATACGGTTTCATGCCTCAGTCACTGCCCCAAGCCCTCCCAGCCAGCCAGGATCATGACAACTTCCTATGTCCAGGAACCAAACCTGCAATCTGTCACAAGAACCCAGCACCAACTGAGCAATTCATTTCTTTTTTTTTTAACTATTAATTTTAATTTTATTTATTCCTTCATTTATTTTACTTTGACCAGAGAGAGACATGGAGAGAGAGAGGTAGAAGGAAAGGGAGAAAGGAAGCCACCAGGTCTGGGACTTAAACTATGGTCAGTCACGTGGGAGTGTCCACCACCTTAACCACCACGCCACCTACTGGTCCCCTGAGCAGTCCATTTCTAAGCCAAGCTAGCCCAGAACTCATTGTAATAGTGATTAAATCACAGCAAGAGCATCCAACACAGTGTCTGTACCACCCTATGGGCTTAATACTCTATCTATTAATCTTCTTTCTATTAAAGCAAACTTAGGAAAGTTTTAGAGAATTATACACCTGCAAAATGTCTGCCAACTTTGCCCTCCCATATTCCTTTTGCTGCAAACCACCAAGTGGGTGGAACCGAGGTGTGGGGGTCAGCCTGTAAACCCTTCTCCAAGGGACCAACTCAGACAAATAAGGATGAGCCTGGGGATTTTGAGACCAGAGACCATTCTTGGGGATAATGGAAAGACTTCCCACAGAAGTAGTTACGAGGCCGGAATGGTGCAGTGTGGCTCCACATTATGCTCAGCTCCAGGGAGTATTCTAACTTTGGGTGTCTAAGTTTCTGGGGGCTTGTTCTTGAACCTCCTTCCTAGTTATGATTTTCTATTCCTGTTGGACTGATGAAATGCAGGAATAACTGCAATGTCCTTGGGCTCACAGTGAGTGTTACACAAGTATTAGCTATTACGATAACAAAAAGCAAAAAGCACTGGCCCATGTGACTTGCTAGTTTTTCTGGTTCCTTTTTATAACTGAATTAAAACGTTAGCCTCTAATTTTGGCTTAAGAGTCTCAGTATGTGCTTATAGTATAACTTGTTTTAATGCCCAGTAAACGGCAGATTTAGATTTTAGGTAGATGGGACCAGCAGAGGGCACAGTGGTTAAGGTACCAGACTCCCACATGGTCAATTGTGGTTGGAGTCCCAGACCCAATAGCTTGAAACTCATACCAGGTGTGTATATGTGTGTGCCCAATATTCTGAGAGGAAAATGGAGGAGAAGGGACTGTGGTGTCCCCCCATGGGGCAGGGTGGGGATTTCACACTTTCTGTCTCTCTGATGAGCTCACATACCCTATAGCAAAAATCTCTTATGGGACCAGCAGTTAGCGTAATGGCTATGTTGCTTGATTCCCACGTAGTCGACCGCGGTTCGAGACCCAGACCTGGTTACTTAAAACTCACGTTGGGCGCGTGTGCGTGTGTGCCCAAGATCCCGAGAGGAGAATGGAGGAGAAGGGATTGCGGCGTGGCCATCCCCCCTGGGAGGTGATTTCTCGCTTCCTGTCTCTCTGTTTCTCTCTGTCTGTCTGGCGAGCCCACGCACCCTATAGCGAAAACCCCCAAAAAAAGAAAACCATTTAGGGGACCAGCAGGTGGCATGGTGGTTACAGGTGCTGGACTTTCACATGGCTGACCATGGTTTGAGTCCCAAACCTGGCAGCTTGCTTTCTCACTTTCCCTCCCTCTCTCTCTCTCTCTCTCTCTGTCTC